AATGACCACAACCAATTCCAAATATATAGAAAATCATTAAATTTATCAACAAATAGCACAAGGCTCCACACAACGTATATAAAACCTCAAAACAACAACAGAGATGAAAAAGTAACTCAGCATAGGACAACACCTTCATTAATCTAAATTTTAATAAATATAAATTAATGCCTCATTTTAAACTTATTTAATAATTATTTGCAGATAAGAATTCCATAATGAATTTAATTCCAAGAAAAATATCAAATCAACAACACACGAAATTCACATAAAAATCCAAGTGACAATAATACCAAATTATCATATAAAATACAAATTCGACAAACAAGGAATGAGGCATGACAACTCAAGGACTTACTAAGTTTCAATAATTTTTCAATTTAATACATAAGGGCGTCTATGAATTTCAACCGATATAATTTGCACATATAAATCAAGTACGTACTCGTCACCTCGCGTACACGGCTTCTAATCACACAATATCCACATAAGACTCAATGCCTAAGGGGTAATTTTCCCACTCAAGGTTAGGCAAGATACTTATCTTTTTGAAGTTAGGCCGATATTCCAAAATCGCCTTCTTGCTTGAATTGACCTCCGAACAGCTCAAATCTATCAAAATTAATTATATAACTTCATTAAAATTCATCGAAAACAATTTCGGATACTAAAACGTCGACTAAGAATTTCACATTTAAAAAGTCAACCAAAGTCAACGCGAGAACAGTATCTCAGAACCTGGCAGAATTTTCATGAAATCCGAACACCCATTCCGATACGAGTTCAACCATACCAATTTTATCAAATTCCGATAACAACTCGGCCTCCAAATCTAAATTTTTCGGTTTTGAAAGATTTTACAAAAATTACAATTTCTTCCATTTAAATCCGAATTAAATGATGAATAACCATAGATTTATGAAATATAATCACTTTTGGATATAGGACACTTACTCAAGTTGAAGTCTTGAAGAAATTCTCAAAATCGCCCAAGAACCGTGCTCCAAAAATCCAAAACGAAATGAAGAAAATGACCATTTTTGGTCCTTAAGTTTCTGCCCAATAAAAACACTATTTTGGTCGCTAAAAGTCCAATTCCCGTCGCTAAAATTGTCAAATCTTGTCGCTAAAGGTGCGCACCAGAAATGTTTACACCAACAATTAATGTTTCACTAAAAAGGCTCTAACTCCTTCATACAAACTCGGAATTCGACGATTCTTATTCTTATGAGTCACAAATAATAATACGAACATACTCGTTCAATTGAAACTCAATTCGGAGCTCATTTTCTCAATGTGATACCAATTTCGCTCGTTTACTAACTCATGTTTCATGCTAAAAACCCAATCGCGACTTGATGAAATTAGACCAAACATTCCAGATCATTCCTATAATTCATTAGCAAACTTTTGGAAGTCTCGAAATCGATCTTCGATCTCTAGAACTAAAAATGGACATTTGGATCATTACATGCTTATGCTCAAAACACCAAACTCTTCCAAAACCTCTTCCTAGATAGCTTGTAGTGTATCAACCATAATTTTTGTACCCAACTCCAACTGCCAAACAACTTAAATTTTTGAAAACTAAATACAAAGGGCTACAACTTTCATTTTTGTATCATCGCTAAATTCCTTATAGATTATGAGATATAAGATTCCAAAGTCAGTCATGTGAAGCAGAAATTTTTGCAATGCACACTGTCATGCAAAATAACTGCAGTACTAGGTTTTGGTTAATCAATCATAACTTTCTGTACAAATATCCAAATAATAAATGGTTTATATTTCTAGAAACTAGACTCAAAAGCTACAACTTTTATGTTTTGAAAATTTCCAGATTCCTTATAAATTTCGAGATATAAGCCTCCAAATTTTCAACGTGATTGCACCAGTTGCTGCCAAAAACAGCTTCTGCCAACAAAAATTTCAACAGCTTCAACAAGGCGCCAAACGATCTGAAACTCATTCGAGCCATTCGGGACCTTGTCCAAATATACCAATAAGTCTCGTAACATAACACGGACCTGCTCGAGGCCTCAAATCATATCAAATAACATCAAAACTACGAATCGCACCTTAAATCGAATTATGAGTTTATGAATTTTTCAAATTCTATAATTTGCGCGAAACATACCAAATCAATCCGGAATGACTTCAAATTATTAAATGACATAATGGAGCTGTTCTAATTTTTAGAATCGAATTTTGACCCCCGATATCAATAAAGTTAACTCCCGGTCAAACTTTCCAAAAAAAAATTATTTTCCAACTTTCGCCAAAATGCTTCGAATTGTCCTACGGACTTCCAAATCCAAATCCGAGCATACGCCCAAATCCGAAATCACCATACAAAACTATTAGAATCATCAAAATTCTATTACGGAGTCGTTTGCTCAAAAGTCAAACTCCGGTCAACTCTTTTCATTTAAGCTTCAAAAATGAGAGTTGTTCTTTCAATTAAATTCCGAATCTTCCGAAAATTAAATTCAACCATACACGCAAGTCATAATACATATTACAAAGTTGCTCGGGACCTTAAGTCGTTGAACGGGGCGTTACAATCGAGGTAGCTGCCTTGGCGTCCGCAGACCTTGACTCTCCTTCTTTTTCAGTTATTTGCACTATTTTATCTTTCTAGATAGTGTCTTAGCAGTCAGACTATATTGTCATTTAGATACTCATGTACTCAGTGACATCCGAATTTTGGGGGATTTTATATTGAGTCGCGGTGTTTCCTTATAAGTTATTTATGAGATTTTACTCTTAAGCTTATTTTATTATATTTTCAAATTTAAAGATACGTGGTTTACTGTGATTGTCGGCTTGCCTAGTATTACGATAGGCGTCATCACGACATATGAGATTTGGGTCGTGACAGATTTTTAAAGGACGTCTCATGTTTTTTGTAAGAACGGCACACGTCTTCTTCCTTTTTAAATTTTCAGAGATTCTTCGTAGAGTAACAAATTTCATTAGAGCATCTCTACTCGTTGACAATCTTTTTACGTTCAAGTTTTTTGAATGGCGAACTTAAGTATTCTAGAGATGTCTTCATTTATAAATTAAAGACCGGATAGTTGAATAGACATTTGTTTTTGCACAAAATTGTGTTTTCAATCTTCTATCTTATCTCAGGAGGTTTTATCTAAACGGTAGCATCTAAGTCAAGATAATTATTCCCCTTTGACTTCAAAGTCAAATGCCAAATGAGATAATTAACGACGAAATACTCAAAAGGCCAAAAATGACAATCAAATAGTATGAATTATAATGTTTACTTTTTTCCATAATCAATAATCATGCGTAATATTGTATAGATTAAGATTTCATGCCTCTCTTTTTTCTTCTTTAACATTTTTCTTTTGATTTTCAAAATTTCATTTTGCTTTGTGGAGCTTTTACTACGTATAGCTTCAAATTTTAAATACGTATTGATCCATTTTATACTTGTACTTTTGCTAATGTTGGAATTTTACTTCAACTAGTCAATTTTGCGTAAACCATCTAATTATTTATTAAAAAAATTATGTAATTATTTTTGAAAATAAAAAGTAACAGATTTGAAAGTTAATATAATATATAGGTGGTATGATATTTCAAAAATTTGGAAACCACCTGAAAATTTAATTCAAATGAGCCTTTATTTCACGTAAAAGATTATTGATGTGAATATTAGGACATCTAGATGAAATTTAGAGTCCATTACTCATATGATCACTCAACTATCCAAAATTATAGGCTAAAATTATTTTTCTTTCATTTGTAATAGGAAAGTCACTCAATTATTCCTATTGCACATAAACGGTCACTCAACAGGAATAATCAAACTTTACGATATGAAAATATGATGTGGCAATCCATATAAATTTTTTTTTATATTTTTTTACCAAATAAAATAATTAACACCCAAACAATACATAAAAAATCCACCCACACACCCAACCTAACCCGCTAAAATTAAAAATTCACCCACTAAATAAAATCAAACACTAAAATG